AATAAATAAATAAATAAATAAATAAATAAATAAATAAATAAATAAATAAAATTTGGAATAATAAAGTTATTACTAAGAGTGTTAAGAGGGGAACTGGGCAGATGGCACAGTCATAAAATCCTTACCACACAAGCATTAAAACCTGAGCTTGATCCCCAGAACCCATGAAAAAAGTCAGGCACAGTGATAGACCCTTGCAGTCGCAGCACTGGGGAATCAGAGACAGGGACACGTGTTTGCTCCCTGGAGTTTGCTGTCCACCCTAGCCTACTAGATGGGTTTCAGGCCAGTGAGAGATCCTGTCTCAAAAAACAAAGTAGACAGCTCCTGAGGAAAGAAGTTGTTCTCTGGCCTGTTTTGCATGCTTATATACATATATGCACAAAGCAAAGTGTGAAGAAGGACTGGGAACAGTACTCGCCAAGCATGCCGAAAGAATTTAGGAGTGTTGTTCAATGGTAGAGCATATGCTTCAAGTGTAAAAGACCTAGGGCTCAATCCTCAGAGCCATGTACACATACACACAACTCTGGAAAGCAGACCTCAGAGTGGAAGAAAAACCTGGAACACCCGGACTGGAGAGATGGCTCAGAGGTTAAGAGCACTGGCTGCTCTTCCAGAGGTACTGAGTTCAATTCCCAGCAACCACATGGTGACTCACAACCATCTATATGAGATCTGGTGCCCTCTTCTGGCCTGCAGACACATATGGAAGGAATATTGTATACATAATAAATAAATTATTATACATAAATATATAAATTATTATAAGTAAATCTAAAAAAACTGGAACACCAAAAATAATAGGAAAATACAAAATAAAAAGAAAAATAATAGATAACATAGTGGGAAGTGGGCAGCATTTGAATAAGCGTGTTTAAAAGAATAAGCAGGCTATGCTCGGTGAGAGGACATTTGCCTCATATGGATAAAGCCTGGTTTCCAGCCCCAACACTGATGTAAAAAAAAAAAAAACCTAAACAGATAAATAAACAAATCTAGTGCAGCTGATAGGATCAACTTATAAGTAAGGTTTATATGACTCACAATTTTACAAGTTTCAATCCACAATTAGTTAGCCCTGTTGCTTTGACTTTGTGGCAACACATTATGATAGAGCAAAACTTATCACTTAATAGCGGGGAATGAAAAGAGATAAGGAGGGGCTGGGACCCAGAATCCCTTTGGGGGTATCTTCCCTACAACTTTAAGAATCCCCACTTGGCCCACCTCTTACAGTTCCACCACCTAGCAATAGTGCCAAGACAGAGATTAAGTGTGCTGGTTAGTTTTCGTCAGTCTGACACAAACTAGAGTCACCTGGGAATTCACCTCCAATGAGGAATTGTTTCCATCAGATCTGTCTGTTGGCTTGTCTGTTGGCAAGTTTTCCGTTACTGGGCATGATTTTCTTCCTGTTGATTGAGCCAATTAGACAATTGTTGGTTACTGCCAGGATATCAATGCCGCTATTGCACTGTTAGGGATATTTTGCCATGTTTATGGGGAGCTGAGTAAGCCATGAGCAAGTGAAGTGCTGAGGAAATGTGTGCTGTCAGCATGGGCATGACCAGGTTAAGGAGCCCATAGCCTCAGGTCCAGAAAGATTGCAAAGCTTCCTCGGGGGAATGAGTGCTCATGTTAACAGTGTGTGCCGAAAATGCCCATGAAAGCCTCTCCCCCAGGGGCTGGAGAGATGGCTCAGCGGTTAAGAGCACTGACTGCTCTTCCAGAGGTCCTGAGTTCAATTCCCAGCAACCATGTGGTGGCTCAGAACCACCTATAATGAGATCTAGTGCCCTCTTCTGGCACTGGCAGGATACTGTAAAAATAAATAAATATTAAAAAGAAAAAGCCTTTCCCCATGATTACTTATGACCTGAAGACCACTTGTCTACAGAGACTATTTCTACCAAGATCAGTTAAGCCTATCCTCTTGATCCTGCTGTACACCATAAACCCTGCTTCCTTGTTTATCCGTATATAATAACCCTACCTCCTTGTTCAGCTGTATGAAATAACCCTACCTCTCTGTTCAACTTTATATAATAAATGCGCTGAGCTTCCAAGGTGCTGTAGGTTCTTCATCAGAGATCCCAGTCTGCCTAACGCCAGCTTTTCTGTGTGCCTGTGTGTCCAACCATCCACATTTTCATCATTCCCTCTCTGCCTCAGTCAAGCCCATCCCTGAAGTCACGCTGGATGTGGCATATACTGGTCATTGTTATGGTTCTTAGGCATCACAGTTAGGCAGGGTTATTGATTGCTTCCACCCTTGGAAGCTTGCATAGCAACTTCTAGTACTATGAAAGCTGGTCCCCAGGGACTATTTTCCTATTAATGATTGACGTTGGAGAGCCCAGCTCACTGTGAGCAGTGCCACCCCTGGGAAGGTGGTTCTGGGATGTATATAAAAAAAAAAAAGCAAGCTGAGCAAGCCATAGAGAGTAAGTCAGTGAGCAGCACTCCTCCATGGTCTGTGCTTCAGTTCCTGTCTCCAGGTTCATGCCTTGAGCTCCTGCCCTGGCTTTTTTCATTGATAGTCTGTGATGTGGAAGTGTAAGCCAAATAATTCTTTTCCAACAGAAAACAAATAGCAACACTTTTAAGTATTTACTTGTTTTTATTTGCATGTTCGTGTTTACAATAGGGTTCTCTCTGTATCCCAGACTGGCCTAGAACTCAGAGGACAGCCCAGACAACCCTTGAACTCATAGCAATTCTTCCACCTCAGCGGGCTGGTACCACAGGCCTGTACCAACTCGCCTGTCCTCAGTGGCATTCTGACTTGTCTTATTCTTATTTCATTCTCTCTCTCTCTCTCTCTCTCTCTCTCTCTCTCTCTCTCTCTCTCTCTC